GTGTGGCTATGAGTCAGAATAATGTCTCACAAGAATTGAAATATAAAAGGACTCTTAGGAAAAAACACTGCATTTTATAGTAGGAATCAAAAGACGGAAGGAATACACACCAAAAAGAATTTGTTGACATTCAGTCATTTCAAGACGTAGCAAAGAACAAGAATTGCTAGTATTGAAGGAAGTAGTGCGAGTTGGTAGCAATAGTGGAAAATAAATCTCCAGGAATTCACAGACTACCAAATGACATGTTTCAACAAACTAATGCAACACTGGAAGCACTCATCTACACAAACAAATGTGGAAGGCAATTGATTGTGCCCATTCTAAAGACAGGTGACCCAACAATTCAAAAATTATCAAGCAATATCATTAAAATCACAGGCATGTAAAATTTTGATGAAGACAATACAACAATGGTTGTGGCGGAGCATAGACAAGGAGCTGCTGGGAATTCAAGCTGGATTCAGAAGAGAATACAGAACAAAGGTGGCACTGCTGATGTCAGATGGATCTTGGCTGAAAGCAGAGAATATCAGAAAGATGTTTACTTGTGTTTCATTCACTATGCAGAGACATTCAGTTGTGTGGATCTTAACAAGCTATAGATAACTTTACCAAAAAATGGAAATTGCAAAATTTTGCTCATGCAGAACTTACACATCAACAAAAAGACAACTATTCGAACAGAACAAGGGATACTACAACCAATAACCAAGCTCACTGTCCCGGAGCTGATGTCAGCGCAGTGACCCTGTGTGTCAGGGTAAAACTGCTCCGTGAGTTTACGAGACTGTAACTGTTTAAGGGAGCAGAAAAGTCCTGTCTTTCTCCCAAGGAGTGGCTGGTGGATTCCAATTGCTGACTTGAGGATTCCAGCCCAATTCATAACCAGTTTGCCACCAGGGCTCCTATGGGGATACTACATGGTTTAAAATTATGGAAGCTATGTGTCAGGGTTGTATTCTTTTACCACACTTATTTAATTTTTATGCTGAACAAATAATATGAGAAATTGAACTATATGTAAAAGAATATGGCATCAGGATTAAAGGACAAAGTCCTATTTCATCCTACAGGGTTGGTTATCAAAGACAATTTTTAAAGTTTGTCAAATTTCTTCGTTTTTATATTGGGAGTCAAAACCATTGAGGCATTTGCTTTTATATGTTCAAATATGTTTTGTTAAGAACCACCTCCCTAGTCTTAGAGATAATAAGAGCAATATATGGGAAAATAATAACAACAAAATGACAGGAGGCTATATAGATTTTTAGTCTATAAAGGTCTTATAAGAAGTCACTTAAGACCTGGGGCATAGTGGTTTATGCGTTGGGCTGTTAACCACAAGATCACCTGCTCAAAAGTGGAGCCAGCAGCGGCTCCTCAGGAGAAAGGTGAGCCGGTCCGCTCTTACAAAGACTCAGTCTCGGAAATGCACAGGAGCAGTTCTACTCTGTCCTACAGGGTCCTAGGAGTCCAAATCAACTCAATGGCTTTGGTTTATATTAATTCATTAGGCAGGCCCATTTAAAAATGAGTGGTGCAACAGCCAAAAGAAGCGAGTGAAGCATTTTCCAGAATATTTTTTAAAGGATATGCAAAATACAGTCATTCTCCAATTGGGGATCTGTAGCCATAAAACAGTCTAAAATTCACAGAAAAGCCCATTAATAGTTTTTCTGCACATACTGAAAAAATAAAGTTGTATAAATATTAATCAAAAACCAAGCTCACTGCCATCAAGTGCACTTTAACTCACAGCAACCCTGTAGGACAGAGCAGAGACGCCCCTTTGGGTTTCCGAGACTAAATCTTTACGGGAACAGACAGCCTCATCTTCTTCCCGTGGAGCAGCTGGAGAGTTTGGGTTAAATTTATAGACAGCAGTTTTCAAGACTGTAAATTTTTAAGGAAGCAAATAGCCTCATCTTCTCTCACAGAATAGCTGCTGGGTCTGAACCCCAACTTTGCAGTCAGTAGCCCAACACATAACCCATGGAACCACCAGAGCAAAAATATTGTATTTTGTTAAGTGGTTAAATTATGGCATATTCATTCAATCAAATATTAGGCATTGTTTAAAATGATGACTTCAAAGAGTTATTAATCACATGCCAAGATACACCACTGCTTGAAACAGAAAGCTACTATCTGGATACGCAGCATTAGACCAGGTGCATTAAAAATGTATATACATTTTTAATATATTAGTACAGAAAAAGGGAAAACTATAAGTGCCCAAACTTAAGAGAACTTTTGATAATCAGACTATTTTCACATTTCTTTAAATTCTGTTATTTTCTATATTATCTGTAATTTGGATTCTCTATAATTTTAAAGGATATGCATACTTCTTAACTATGATTTTTTAAACTATATATTGTATAATTTAAAACTTCAACTCTTCTTACCTGTGATCATAGTTGGGCTAAATATTCCTAGTATTGACACTCTGGAATAGGAGATCAATTCTTCATATAATTTCCCCCTTAAATATTCTTCTGCTTCTTGGATAGATGTTATAGTCACTGGGCATGAAATCCTATTGCTGAATGAATATATGACTACAATCAAATTTAAATTTAAAGATTTTTTTTCACTTGTGTAAAACAGAAACACTAACCTTAGGAAACAATATAAACAAGATAAGTCATTGAAAACACATACTATCCCCTTTAAAAAAAATCACCTTCAACAAACAAAATTACTACTATCTTAAAAACAAAGAAAAGAAATGTGGATAGACTCTCTTCATCAACTTTTATTTTAATTCTAGAATCCCCCTTAGCCCATGCAAAGTAACTTGGGTACTTACAGCTGTATAAATTTTAGGAGATCTTCAGTTCCTAGCATACCAACATAAGATACTGGGTTCTCACCTTCCTTGTACATCTTTATCACAGGAAATTCAGTAACATTTTGCTTAGTACATATGTCAGACCAATCTCCACAGTTTATTCTACAGAGTAGCATATTGGATGTGCCTAAAGGAAAAGAAAATGAATGCTTTATAAATACTAATGCAGATAATTCAGTTGTTCTAAATTTACAGATTGTATAAAACACAGTAATTTTAAAAAATAAGATACCCCTACTTTATAACACTATAATCTTAATTTGAAAGTCTGTACAATTACCAAGTAACCTTAATATAAAAATCAATAGAAGGTTGTGATAAGATCCTCCTTCAATATCAAGCCCTCTGAAGCATTAACGCATCCTATTAGAAACTACTAATGCTTCATAAAGTGGCCCTGGTTGTTCAGGGGTTGTATAAGTGCTTGGTATAGTGCTTGACTATTAAACAAAAGATCAATGGTTTGATCCCCACCAGCCATTCCACAGAAGATACAGCCTCAGAGATCCTATGAGGCAGTTCTATTCTAGCTATCAAGTCACTTTGAATCCAAATCAATTCCATGGCACTGGATAGGAATCCTCAGTAAATCAATGAGCTAATTACTAGGAGCTCTGCTGAAATAATGAGTGATGCATGGAGCCGCGACCACTTGCAGGTCAGCAGCCGAAACCCACCGATCATGCTGTAGGAAGAGGAGCCTGTTCCTGTAAAGATATTTTAAAGTACCAGAAGCCCAAGGGGGCAGTTCTACTCTGCCATAGGGTCACTATGAGTCAGAATCAACTGCACGGCTAACACTACTACGAGGGCCTTAAGTTATCATAAGCCAAGCGAACCAAACAATAGAAACTTACCAGCCTTTTTACTAAAAGCCATAAGTAAGATTTTCCTAATTCAAAAGACTATACCACCTGAACACATTTTAAAGGAATCTAATCTTCATACTACTATACACTAGTAGAGTATTGAAATTTGAAAACATATGGGTTAAAAGCCCTGAAACTAGAGACTCAAAAGAGACATAACAAGTCCTTTCAGAAGTCTGATGCAAGGCACTGTATTATTTTCAGGACTATAGAGAGCAATACTGTACATTCAAAGTGGTGCAGTAGGCCACCATCTTTCAGCTGGGCATTGCTATTTCCATCTCTGCTTATAAAAACTGGAATCTAGTGCTATTTCAAACACAGCTCTTTTCTTTTAATAAGTGCCTTCACACGTCTTCCACAACAACAAATGTAAATTATTATTTCCCTGTCCTTGTAGTCCAAATTGAAAACTTTGATGTTTTTAAAGTCTTTAAAACTGGATATAGAGCAGATACACGTCATTACATGTTCTACAGCTGCTAAACTGAAGTTACAAATTCAAATTTTTATCGTCATTCAGATATTATTTCAGCATTTATTCATTTTAGAAGAAAAAATCAATGCCCTAAGACTCCTAAAGCATCGCAGCATATACTTTATCAGTATAGTAATAAAAATTGCATCTCTAAAGGTATGCTAATAAAAGAATATCTTCTTTACAGATACTATGGAAGCATAAAAACTTGATATTTGCTGCCACCTTGTGGCTGAGTAGTATCTGTCATCATCTGGACTAGGATTAAATGCACCAGCTAGCTGCTCTGCAGAAGAAAGAGACAGTCTGTTTCCATAAAGATGTACAGCCTTGGAAATCCTCTGAAGAGTTTAGCTCTCTTCCTTAGCACCACTTTGAGATGGAATTCATTTGAAAACAGGGGGCTTGCGTTTGAGTTTTCTTTCTTGTACTTATTTGACAATAAAACTAGAAAAACTAAGAGAAGAAACTAAAATCTGTTCATAGCTTACAACCATAAAAGACAACTAAAGATAGGTAATAGATATTGCTTCAAAAGTAAAAAAAATAGGAATATTAAAAGGATTGAAAAAAGAAGTAAAAAAAATTTAGGATCACAACATCTACAGATTTAATTATCTCTCTACTCAGTAATAAAATAATCTAAAGTTAAATAATATGTGATTAGAAAATGTATTGTTATTTAACGTTCACTTCCTATAATTAATTTTTTTAGTTCACAAAAAGTGAACTTATTTAAATAAGATATATGCCAAGTTAGTTCTTTAAAACCAGTACAGATTTCCATTAAAATAAAAGCCAATAAACTCTACTGTATTATTCAATCGACAATTATTAAAAAATAGATATTGTGAAATATAATTCAGTATGCTAAATTCAGTGATCTAAGTATAAATCACACTATCTACTTACTGCTGTCGAGTCTATTCCAACTCAGAGTGACCTGACAAAAGAAACAGAACTACTTCTGTAGGATTTTCCAGGCTGCAAATCTTCAGAGGCGAACAGCCTCATCTTGCTCCCATGAAGGAACTTGTGGGTTCCAACTGCCAAACTCTTGGCTAGCAGCTCAAAAATTAACCCTCTGTACCACCACGGTTTCCTGAGGTATACTACCTGCCCTTAAAGAAACTACAAAATAGCGAGTCTGTAAGCAAGTGCCCCAGAAGGTGTAGTAGATACATTCCCAGAATAGCCTTGAATGAGCCTATTTAGTCACAATAGGTTCAAGTAATAAGAAAAATAGAGTGAGAAATTAATATAACAGATAAGATGTTAATCAAGTCTTATTCAAATGATTATATTATATACACCTTATCCACCATCTCTCTCCGAACTAATATGCCGCCCTACTTTTGTAGGTCTCCTTTGCTAGGTTGACAACAGACATTTTAAATTATAGTCCATTCCTTGAATTTTTTTTATTTTGGCTGCCAATGGGACAGGTTTCTTACAGTAGTTAAAATAAAGATATTGACTAGGGAGATATCTCCTAGTCTTTAAGGAGCTAACTACAGACCCAAGAACACTGGAGTCTTGGATTTTTTCAATAGCTATGAGTGCTGTAGAATGCTGAATCTTCAGAACAAAAAAATCCTATCAATGTGAATGAGGGGGAGTGCGGAGTGGAGACCCAAATCCCATTTGTAGACAATTGGACATCCCTTACAGAAGGGTCACAAAAAGTCAGGGTGCAGTATAGCACCGAAAAAACATACAACTTTCCTCTAGTTCTTTAATGTTTCCTCCCCACCCCCACCATCATGATCCCAATTCTACCTTACAAATCTAACTAGACCAGAGCATGTACATGGGTACAGATAAGAGCTGGAAACACAGGGAATCCAGGATACATGAACCCCTCAGGACAATAATGTGAGGAGCAATACCAGGAGGGGAAGGGGAAGGTGGAGGAGAAAGGGGAAATGATCACAATAATCAACATATAACCCTCTCCCAGGGGGACGAACAACACAGAAGGGAGTGAAGGGAGACATTGGTCAAATGTAAGACATGAAAAAAGAATCATAAACTATCAAGGGTTCGTGAGGAAGGGGAAAAAAACAGGAGTTGATACCAAGGGCTCAAGTAGAAAGAAATGTTTTGAAAATGATGATGGCAACAAATGCACAAATGTGCTTGACATAATGGATGGGTGTATGGATTGTGATAAGAGCTCTATGAGCCCCCAATAAAATGATTTTAAAATTTTAAATTAAAAAAAAAAATACTGGGTCTTGTGCTACTGTGGAGCTGCAATTCCGGCCTGGTTTCTAGATGCTTTTCCTAGACCCAGGCTGCTGAGGTCAATGCCCACCATTGGACCTGTCAATCTTGTATTCAACACGCTCTGGACCAACTTGAATCAGAACAATCCAAAGTTTTTGGATTTTTAGTTTGAAATCTAAGCCTCACAGGGACCTTACCAGCCTCTACCACTGTTAGGATTCCTTTAGAGCAGACTGATCAGCAAAAGCAGCAAGAACCCTCCCAGGCTCCGAGACCTTGCCATCTAGAGTGTGTTGCAGAATGAGGCCTCAGCTGTGGCTGTCCACGGATCTCTTCCCTCCCTTGTTCATGGTAGCCGTTGTTGGGCAATAACGAGAGCAGTGAAGGCCATGTTGGTGTATGGCCCTTCATTCTGCTCCCCCTGGGGGCTCTGATGGAAGATTATCAATCTAGCCCTGACATTTTACAGACTGTACTTGATGGTCTTAACATCCTGCTTGTCAAAAATGTTCAGTGCAGTAGATGCTATCTGAAAATACAGGATCTACCATGGAACACTGACATCTTCTGGCACATGTGGATGGGATCCCAGTCTAGTGCCTCCATGACTCATCAGGAACCAGAGGCCACCCAACCCAGGACTCAAGACTCAAAGAGAAGACAGATCCATGTCACTGGAGAAGCATCCAGTCTTGGTCCCTGTGAAGTTGCTCACAGACCTGTGCTTTCTGGAATAAGTTCCAGATAAATTCCTCACTTTCCTCATTGAAAGGGTCAAGCAGAGTAAGACTCTGCCACACCTGTGCTGCAGGAAGGCGGAGTTTATTGGGGATGTATCACAACTTCCCATTCTTGGGTAGATCCTAAACATGGTGCACCTGGGCTCTGTCCAGGAGGTGAAAGTGCCTGGTAGGTGGGACATGCAAAGCCTCAACTGGTTGGCTCCTTACCTGGCCTGAATGGTCCACCTGCATACACTCCTTCTTTCTGAATGCACCCTTGTATTGCATAATCCCTGGGGAGTAAGAGGAGGGTGAGGCAGGAAGCTACTTCAACAAATCACCTCTTAGCTTCTCAGTATGAATCAGCTCCAACACCTCATCCTGCACGCTGCCAACTTCCTTGATAACCACCTCCAACAGCTGCTCAGATGCTTGCAGACCGCCTTGGAGATCCTCAGAATAAGCCATTGCATGCTGTTGGACCATGACTTAACAAACCCATCCTCATGTCCCTGCACCAGCCACCTAAGGTCCCTGGAGCTGAGTGGTGTACACAGGACAGGCTTCAATTATGAATTCCTACCTGCTCTGCTGAACAAGGTCTCAGCCACCTTGTTTGACCTGGACTTAGCTGACTGTAGCATCCTGGACTGTGAACTTGGTACCTTGCAGCCAGCTCTGAGCACCTCCTCTCAGCTCAGAACCTTGATGCTCTATGAAAACCCAATGTCCATGGCTGTCCTACAGGACCTCATGGTTTACACTGTCCCAAGATGCAAGTTTGCTTTCTACATCTTCCTGTCCCTCTGCATTGCTATGTGGACCGCCATGGAACTCTGCACTGTAGTATGCTTGAAGAGGTGATGGGGGAGCTGAGGTTGACCCTGGAGCCTAACATGCCCCACTCAGTAAGCTTTGCTCATGGGACTTATCGCAAAGTTTGTGACATATGGACAATTAATGCCGTGGCCCTCTGCGTTGCTATCATGTTCTCAATCCTAACTCATGCC